CTATACCTAGCAATTTCTTACACACAAACACAAACTTGACAAATAATTTGATCCATTGCTACTCCTTTCGAGATTCAGATGTCTCTATGGCAAGCCTATGAATTATTCCATTGACTTTTCTTATTCTTTTTTGACCTGTATATTATTTAGAGACAGACAAATGAGCATCTCTTTTTTCTTCTTCTTCAATTTTATTTATTTATTTATTAATTTATTTTGCAAATTCTCTACTTTTATTTATTACATTTTTTGACCTTCTTGGCTGAATGAGTGAGTCTGTAGAATAGAAAATCTAGTAATAAGGAACAAAATTATTTGCCATGCAAACTTGCTTTCCATTACTAACCAGAGAAGAAACAAGTCAAAGTAGATTGATCATAAAATGTGAAAACCATTAAAATTGACCAAGTAATGGACAACATTAACCTCAACTTGTGATACAACTAGATATGATTATGGTTAGTTTGATAATCATACAAAACACAGACCTCCATATTTTGGTTACTTCGGTGCAAAAAATTTGGGGATAATCGTAGAGAGAAAGAGAAAGAGAGACCGAGATAGAGAGAGAGAGAGAGAGAGAGTTACCCACCGTCTCAACTCGCCGTACTCCCCTTGCTGTTAACCTTAGTTGTCCGCAGCGTCCGCTATGAGAAAAGGTTCACAACTTATAGTACTGAGATAGAGAGAGAGAGAGAGAGAGAGAGAGAGAGAGAGTGAGAGGATACTATTTCTTTAGCTCAAAAGGCTTTTGTGTATGGTCGTTAGATTTTAGAGGTTGTATTAGTTGCAAACAACACAATTGAGGAATATAGAGGGCCTAATGACGAGGGTTTAATATTTAAAATGGACTTTGAGAAAGCATATGACCATGTGAATTGGAGTTTTTTTTGGATTTTGTGTTGTATATAAAGGGACTGGAGAGAGATGGAGGAAATAGATCTACAAGCGCTTGTCTTGTAATATTTCTGACTTGGTCTTGTAAGGTAAGGAAAAGTTTTAACGCGTCAAAGGATCTCAGGATAGGTAATCTTTTTCCTCCTTTTCTTTTCACATTGGTTGTTGACATGTTAGGGAGGATGGTCGATAGGGAAAAGGTAGTTGGCCTTGTTGATGGTTTTGTTATTAGGAGAAACAATGTGTCGATGTCCCATTCGCAATTTGCTGATGATGCCATCTTTTTTACATTAGGGGAGAAATCAAAGATTGTTAATTTGCTCTTGATTTAATGTTAGTATGAGTATTCTATTGTGGGAATCAATATTCAACTAAACTGCTTACAAAGAGTGTCTGGTACTTTAGGATGTCTAATTGCACACTTTCTTTTCAAGTATGGCTACTTGTTGGGGATAATCCTAGAACGAAGTGTTTTGCGGTTCTTGTCTTAGAGAAGATTTGCAAAAGACTAGAAGGGTGGATGAGAGCCTTGTTTTATAAAGGAGGTAGGTATACTTTGGTGTAGTTTGTTTTGTGTAACATCCCAATTTATTATTTGTTTTTGTTCAAGACTTAGTTCGGGATTGCAAACAGAATTAGAAAAATGATGAGAGATTTTTTGTGGGAAGGTTTAGATTCAGAAAAAGGAAAGAGAGATCATTTGGTGAATTGGGAGACTTGTGTAACATCCCAATTTATTATTTATTTTTGTTCAAGACTTAGTTCGGGATTGCAAACAGAATTGGAAAAATGATGAGAGATTTTTTGTGGGAAGGTTTAGATTCAGAAAAAGGAAAGAGAGATCATTTGGTGAATTGGGAGACTGTTTCTCTCCTAAAAGAAAAAAGGAAATTGGCTTTAGGAAACATTGTTGCAAGGAACATTGCTCTTCTTGGCAAGTGGTTATGGATATTTTCTATTGAGCATGATTCACTTTGGCATTCAATTATTGAGAGAAAATATGGAGCTCATGCTAATGATTAGAACTCTTTTGTGGGCGATCTGGGTAACTTTTGTTCCTCTTGGAAATCAATTTCAGGATATGAACCAGCGACACTCCAAAACATTTGTCGTAGTGGTGTCGGACCCGGAGACACATGTGGGACATGCCATGTGGTGTGTCTCTTTAATTAATTAATTAGTTCTTTTGGTTGGATGTTAAGGCCAAGTTTGGGAAGACTAAAAAAGTGCACTTTTTGTCTTTTTGGACTAAAAAATTGAGGTTGAAAATATGGATGTTTGGGTTAACTTTTTGACTTTTTATTGAAAAATGTGTAATAAAAAATTGTAAAAATTGATTTGTAGAGAAAAATTTGAATTGGGAGTTGTGCAGCCATAATTGTTGACTTTTGGTGAATAGTGTTAACTTTTTAGCTTTTTGAGTAACTTTTTGACTTTTTGACTTTTTTAGATCTTCCCAAACTTGCCCTAAATGTTTATTATTTTTTTCTTAGATTTAAATAATTAATAAATCTTCCGAAAAACAATAAGAGTTTACTTAAGAGTGGAATTTTTTCATTATATTAAATTAGCATTAGGTTTGGTTAGTTTTGATTATTTGTGGATGTAATATTAATCTACATAGCAAATAAAATATATATAAAATATTTTTATTTTCATGCCGCTGCTGTATTTGTGTCCCAATTTTTTCAAAATTCTCGTGTCCAGTGTTTGTGTCTATGCTTATTAGATTGCGGGTATTCTTCTTTTCTCTTCCTTATTATCCACTAAAAATGGGAAATGGAAAATCTATTTGGTTTTTGCAAGATGTTTGGGTGGGCGATACCTTCTTTAATGTTTTGTTCCCACACTTGTATCATTTGCATCAATCTCCTAATGTGTCGATTGCTTCAGTGGCTGTTTTCCTTTTGGTTCTGATCTCTTGGAATTTCAACTTTTTTAGAAATCTTAATGATCATGGTAATAGTGAATTGGGATCTTTGTTCCCTGTCCTTGATGATGTTCCTTGAGATCAGATGTTTGTGACATTTCCTTGGTCACCTCATTTCTTGGGTTTATTGTCATGTATGTCATTTTTTGACTCAATCATTGATAATCAAAGTTTTTATCCTTTTTCTCATAATAAAAGAATTTGGAAAGTGGTGCGTCTTAAAGGCAAGGTTTTTTTGTGCATGCTGAAATGACTAATGATGTGTTGCAATCTAGGAGATGAGCTCACATTCTTCACCGTCAATGGTGTATCATGTCAAGGAGGAAGAGTCATTGAATAATTTGTTCTTGCATTTTTCTTTGTGGAATAGATTATAAATGTTGGTAGAGGACAGTCGGGTGGTCCTGGAATCTTGTTTCCGCTTAATCTTGATGGATTTTTGGAGGTTTTGGTTGCAATAAGAAGGTGAAGGTGTTATGTTGCTGCATCTTTTTTGTTATCTTTTGTGTCATTTGGTTGGAGTGAAACGCAAGAATTTCAAGGACAAGATGGAGGATGTTGATTCTTTATGGGATAGAGTTTGTTATTTGTCATTTTTTTGGGCCTTAGTTTCTTCGCCTTTTCAAGGGATTCCTTTGTTCTTAATCTTTGGAGATTGGAGGGTTGTATGTGATGTGTAGATGGAGGCGTTGTTACTCTTTTGTTTTTGAATTTTTCTTCTTTTTTAGAGGACTCCTTATCCTTTGGTTTCTTGTAACTTTTCTTTTTTCATTAATAATATTCTTTTTGTTGTTGGCAATAAAAAAAAAAAAAAAAAATTCTTTTTTTGAGCAAGCTGCTAATATCTTCACAAAACACTCTTAATTTCTTGTTTTCATTATCTTTAAAGCATCTCATTGTTCGAACCTCACTCATTTGCTTGACGGGGTAAGAGTATTATCAACACAAGCAGCGATAGTATTGACTCATGTTGTAATAGTTTTTATAAACTGACTCTATTCAAAAGTAGTTATGGTGCCAGCCTCTGTTAATAGAATCTTATGATTCGATTTACGATTCAATTCACAATTCATGCACTGATCGATATGAATGTATGAGTGAATCTATTTTAAGACAGAATCAATTGTGAATCATCAATTCACATTTTACAGTTCATGAAGTTATTGAGACCATTGAGTCTGATTGATTTCAACCTCTCTTTACCTCTTTACCTTAGATCCAACAAGTCACCTTTATTTTATTTTTTGTTATAGTAATTTTGAACAATAAGTTTATACACCTTTTACAATGTTTTATCTTTTAAAATAAAAGATTCCCACTTACTCTTTCTTCTTATCATATTCTATTAGGGAAAATGTTATATGGACTCAGGTACAAGTATCGGGTGCGAAACTTGTCTAAATGTTTGATTCATCTTATTCACATGTCCAAGGACACATGATCATGACAAAATATTTATATTTCTTAATATATACTTATTTTATTTTCTTAGTTCAAATGGTGTAAACAAAATGCTAGAGAGTTTTTAGCATGTATAATATGGGGGTTTTATGCATAGTTTTATGGGAAACTTGAATTTCTTAATGTGTTTGCTAGGCTAACATGCCTTAACTACATATGTTAGGCACATATCCTGTGCCTATACCGAAGTGTGGAGTGTCCGATACAAGTATATCATACATTTAGAACAGTAACATATATTTAGGGTTTCAATGTCTATTTTTTGAATGTCGACTCAAGAGATAATGTATTATGATTTTTAAATAATTATATGTTGGTGGAATTGGGACTGACAAAGGGATCTCTTGTGAGGAGGGATGTTCGCCTCAAATAGTGGAAGCCAATACGTTAGAGATAGAGCGAGAAAAAAAGCAAACACATGGCATTATCACCAACAGAGATTGTCGGGAGGTTCATTTGCCAACAAGCATGAGGAAGATGAATATAGGTTAGAGATAATCGTTTGGGCACAACTAATTAAATGGGGCCCAACATGTGGTTGGAAAAAATGCCCAAGGAATGGCCCAGTTTCACAGTTGGTTGGAACGGGCCATCTTTTTGCTGGATCCCATTTTTTGAATAAAATAACTTTTCATGGAGAGTTAGGCCCAAATGTTAGGGCATATATATCCTTTAATCTAGATTGAAATTTAAAGATGCCCTATCCAAGTAAACGTAAGGAGCAAGAAGATGGGGCAGGTTAGAACTCTTTTTGGGTTGGATCTAATTCTTCGAGCTGTTTGGAGTGGCCTCAGGTGTGCGTGCGACAGACTCCAGGTCATATGGGAGTCATTTTTGTCGACAATGGTACCGGACTATTTCAAGTTGGTTCTAATGCAAAATCAATGGAAGTAGAGAGTGGTGAGGATTTTGTCAGGTCAATCCAAAAGCAGCGCACTCTAAATGCAAATCATTTAGGTGTCTTCTTTCCACTTTGTAGGGGTTCCATTCTTTCTCATTTCTACAGATTGGAAAGCTATTTGTGATGTATAGGGTTTTTTTATTTTTGGATTTTTGTTTTGATGTATTGGCCTCTTTCTCTTGAAGAGGACGCCTTGTCCTCTTTTGTTTGTTGATGTTTTTCCTTTATTAATAAAATTTGTTTTCGTTGCCGATAAAATAAATAAACAAATAAATTTACTCAGTTGTATTCATTGAGATAAATCATTAAGATATTTCGTTCTCTTTGCAGATACATTGACTGATCCTCAACAGAATGACTATATGTTTGTGATGTGTTGTCTCACACTTGCTTGGAAGATGAGAACGTCAACTTTCAAATTTCTTGAGTTAATGGTAATTTAAACTAATAGAGCTTTTAGATTACATATTACAATATTAGTTTATTGAATTTGAAAGTTTTAGATTTTTGAATTGGTTGTGTGGTTGTGTGTTCTATTATAGGATGAAATTGAGAAATTTGACACAGCAGTTGTGCTAGCAATGGAGCTAGACATTTGCAAGAAGTTCAAATGGCAAATGCAGTCAATGACTGCTATTCGTTTCGTGGAGTATTTTGTTCCCCAAGTCTTCTATCACCGACTTGTTTATCAGATCATTATCAATTCCCATGCTGGTAAATCTTGAAACATTAACTGAAGTTTAGTTTTAAAAAATTATAATTATACTTTGGTTTGATTTATGAGAAAATGTAAGAAAATATTAGTTCAAATTTTAAAATCTTTCATTCAGAATCTTGTTGAAACTCGATCTTTTCTTTATCTTCCTCTGTTTTCTCATAATCCTTACAATGACAGATCATAATCAACATTGAGATTGCAGTGTGAACAACCGCCCAACTTGCAAAAACTTATATGTCTTTTCATTTTATTTTTGTTTATTGTGAAATTGAATTTGATCTTCTTTTATTGACCTCTGTTTTTTCATCTTCCAAAACTTTCTTTTGTGTTTTCTTCTATTTTCTCACCATCCAAACAATAAGCGACATAGCAGAGATTGAAATGCAGTATATATAATTTATGATTACTTTTTATGTTAGTAACTTTTTTCCTAAAATTTTTGTTACTGTTTTGTTCATTCTTTATTACAGATATTGGATTGACACAGTACAGTGCATTTACTGTTGCAGCAGTTGCAGTTCTCATTGGTTTGTCAACGTGTTTTCCTACTAAATGCCATGGATTAAAACTAGTGATGTTCTCGTTTGAATTTCTCAGCTATATCAAGGTAACTAAGTCATTACTATTTACTGCACTCAAAATTAAATTAAAGGGGCACATACCTATATAAATTTCAGATTGAGTTTTCTTTGACATGTGTAATTTATAAATGTGTTTGTATATATATAAATTTTCCATGAATAGCTTCACAAGAGGGAGCTGTACAATTGCACAAACAAAATTAAGCGACTAGCGAAACCATGAGGACCATGTGCTATTATTGATGTATTGTCATCTGGAGCTGTTGGACCGAAGGAGAAGATATCCGCTAAACATCTCTTAGCCTTATTAGCTCAGCTAGAGGATGTTAAGGAGAAGGAGAGAGCGAAGGCATGTGCCCAACAGGAAACAGTAAATCCTGAGCTTGAGTGGAGACCGAGGAAACGTCGCAAGGTGGGAGAAATGAAGATAGAGGAAGAGGTAGTTGATGACAAGAGAGAAAATATGGATTTTAAGTTACATTGGCCTGATTCTATTCTCTCACTTACCAACAGCTGCCTGTCATGGCCTTGGTAATTTCCAAGCACTCCGTGCGGCACTTAGACAATCTCAAGCCTTACTTGATGATGCTAAGTCAGCCTAACTCATAAATTTGCAAGAAAGAAAAGTAAGAAGACAATGAGAGTTTGAGAAAATGCCTTTTGTATTACTTTTAGAAAGCTTTACAACTCTTGGATTCTTCATGGAGCAAATGAGCTCCTCTCCTATTTATAGGCATCTTAGGCCTTCTCTAGAATATTTTAGGACATACAAGAAAAGAACTATGGAGATGCTTCTCATAGAAGCTTTCCTTATCCTACAAGAGGGTTCTAGAATTCTCCCTAAAAATATCTATACACACCTCTACCTCATTCTAGAAATAGTTACAAGGATCTTTTACCACTTCCATTTCTCTAGGAGGTTCTAGAGGCTTCTATTGTTTCCATCCCTCTAGTATTCACTTGAATGCTCTAGAATCTTTTCTTAGAGCCTTCCATGTACATTATAGAATTATGTAACAGATTCCTATATTTTCTCAAGTCTTCTAGAAGCTTCCAGAATATTCCATTAGTCTCCCTTCCTTGAGACTTCCTCTTGGTTGGTGATTCTGTCTAGGTAATTTGGCAGGACGTAACATGTTGCCCAAGATGACTGATGGGCTCCCAATCCAGATGTCACACTTTTTGATGCATTACTTGTGGGCTTTCTTTCTGCTGTGCAATTGCTTGTTTTACTACTTGACTTTTCCTAATTTTGACTGAACTTTGTGTGCCATCCATTAGTAGTACCTATCATTACACTACACTATTGTAAGAATATGTAGAGAAAAATAAAACAAAAATACTACACTACGCTACTATGATTCGAAGTAGTGACCTTTGCATGCTAGTTGTATTCTGGAGTAACATGCTAGTACTGGGGGTAATCAGTACATTGAATGACTGTTCAAAGGGTGGTATTCCACTATAGGGGTTTGTTAAGAATGGTATTTGTTGAATGGCAAGAAATAAGCGATTGTGATGCTCTAGAAGATTTTGGATGATGGTTGTGAATCACCAAAAGCAAAGGATGGTTGCTAGTGTGGTTCGGGTAATGTTGTCTGGAATTGTTGTATGAGTTAATGTTGTAGCCATTTGTAGTGGCTAATTATGGTTCCACAAAATAGTGGTATCGCAGTCCGGAGATTATGATAGGTGGGGAAACTGTGCCTACGTATTATTTATATATGTAGACTATTTGTTAGTTGTAGCAAATGACTACATGCATGTCTCTCCTAATAGTAAAGGTGAGTACTTGTACACTTGCGTCTATAACTTACGGGTTGAATTGAAGTGTGTAGCAAGTCCGTAGCAAGCACTGGCTCGAGATTTTGTTGTATGATTCTCCAGGGATGATCGGTACTAGAGTGTCCTTCTCCAGCCGGCTAAGCCGGATAATGGAGTTCTTGTTGCACTATTGTGAATAGCGTGGGAAACTATGAAGTACGGGTACTCTGAAAATGTTACCGTACTCGTACCAGATACTTACCGGGTATTGGTACGTGTACCAAATATTCAAAATACGTACTAGATGCATTTTAAACATTCTTTAGTAGTTCGGTACTCCATGGGTATGAGATGGGTATATCAAGGGTACATCAAGCTACGAGACATTGGTGGGAATACGTTTAATTTATTAAATAATTTTGATTTACTTAAAATTACAAATCTTTCGCTTGATATGTCAATGATGAAAAATGAATTATGAAAGATGTATTATTTAATGATATGCCTGGTGATGCTTGCTAGATGGTCAATATTGGAGTATGTATGAGACATACTCCTGAGTAAGTCCTAAGCTAGTACGAGGGATGTGATAATTTCATCAAGAGTACAGAGTCCTGGTATCAAGTTATCTTGATAATTTTGGGTAGTAATAACCTTATTGGTTAGGGTATTGTGGTTGCATTAGATTGAGAGATATCATAGTACTGAATGTGAATTTCATAGAAGAATTTTTTTAAGGAGTTGTGAGACCTGAATATTTATTTAAAATATGACATTTGCATTTGGCGACATTAGTGTTGTCATTTAGAGATTGTAATTTATTTATTTTATTTTTTTTAAAAAAATTCGGCCAGAATGTATCTAGACAGTGTCTTGCGTGGAGGTCCCCCTCATACGTTCATGCATGAGGAAGCTGTATTCAGCTGAGAATTTTCCAGAAATTAAATTAAGTCTCTAAATTTCAGAGAGAGGTTGAGAGACAATGGGGAGAAATTAGGGAATTGGAGCTCAACTTGAAATCAAAGAGGTAAGCTTCAAAACAATTTGAATTTAAATACTGCATACTCAATTTGTAAAGATTCATGGTGAAATTGAATGCATTTGAGGTTACAGTAAAAATATGAAATGGGCCTTGAGGAATAGTCTTTTTTTCATTTGAGTGGATAAAACCCAAAGTTGTGGACACAATCATGTTCCTTTACTCATTTGGAGTGTGATACCAATGTTCAAAATTTGCCCAGAACAGTGTTGAAAATTGAAAAGCCCTAGGTGGTTTCTAAAACCTTGATCTCTTGGGTTTCAACTTGAAAGAGATGTCCTAGCCTATGTTTTTGGGGTCAAGGAGTTCATTCATGGTGTTTAATTTCATAAAATGTAGTGGTTTGTTGTAGAAAATCTGAGTTGCTGGTGTCTGTTATCCTGAACTGTAAACTTCAAACACTAATTCGTCAATTCTAGCTTTGATTTGATTTGAGCCACGAGAGGTATACCAGGATGTGGGGCAATTGAATTCCCAAATAGATTGATATAAAGAACACTTAATTCTGTGTAGAAATTAGAGAGAAATTGGATATGACCCTAACTCTGGACCCAAGAATCCGATTGTGAACCTCCAGCCAAATTAGGCATGTCCCCACACACGCTGGCATGTACGAGCAAACCTAGGGCTTGTTGGATCCTATTTGGCCCAATTGGCTCCATATGTAGGCCTAACTCGATGAGCTTGGTTTTGACCCAGCGGGGTTTTGTTTGGATATAAATTATAATCCCTATTTTAATGAGGAATAAATTGAGCAGATGAAAATTCCCAAAGCTAGCTTGTGCTACATTTTCAATAATGGACTTTACGTAAAGGGTATCGAGAGTCACCATGAGCTTGGTGATTGGGAAAAAGATTAAGAATCACAATTTAAGTAGGTCAATTTCACTTACAATGATATATCGAGTTATATGTCAACTATATGTAAAACTCAACTCTCTTGCCATGTCATTATGAGAGGATTGTAGGTCTTAAATTATAGATCTGTGGCATTTCTCTTGTTGGTTAGGTTAACTACACGTAAAGCATCTTAGTGAATCCTTGCACCCTTTAAGGTTATGTTTGGTTAGAGGATTTGATTAGAGAAATAAAATGAGAAAAGTAAATGCAATACTACTTTTTGTCTTTTGAGTTTACTTAGGCTATTTTCTTTCTCCATTTCTCAACTTAACCAAAAATAACTTAGAATTCGAATCCTATCAAAACTTTTTTGTTTCCCCCCCCCCTTATTTCCTTCATCAAATCCTCTAGCCAAACACAACCTAAGACTATCACACAAGAGACCAAATGTGTGTATTAGACCAAGGGTAGTAAAATGGACCGAGTGCTATGTCTAAGGGATAGAGTTTCCTTAGGTTGTATTTGGTTCATGGATTTAGAGAGGGATTTGAAAAAATAAAGAAAAAAATGTGTGAAACTAGGTGAAATGTATGTATATTTTATTCACATGTCACCATCTTTTTTTCTTTCCCTTTCTAAATCTCTTTCCAAGTCCTTCAACAAAACACGACCTTAGGAAAGTTGGTAGTGAGGAGCTATTGAGCTGAGTGGCCTAACATGCAGTTTCATAATCATTACAGATAAGCAAAAAAATCAAAAAAAGTGTAAATTAGTCTGATTTGAACCAATCCATAAGATTATGGGTCTTGATTCTTAAAATAGATAAATCATATTTATGAGTTATTTTATAATTATGGTTTCGATTTGAAACCGAATCGAACCATTTATATATATATATATATAGGGATTTATGTATAGGTCCTATGATAATTAATGGCATTTTTCATCATACATGATTAAAGTCACTAATTGTTAATTTTTAGCGACAGTTTGAAAATTGTCACAAAAAAGTCACTAATTATAAGTTTTAGTGACAGTTTAAGTTTGAAAAATTCGTCGCAGAAAAATTTCATTAATTGTAAGTTTTAGTGACAATATATAAAAATCGTGCCAAAAAAAATCGCGAATTGTCAATTTTTAGCGACGTGTAAAAAATATCACAAAAAATTATTTTTAGTGACAATTATACTAGAATTTATTTCAATAGGATTTGATGGAAATTAAGTCCAACTATTAGGACCATTGGTAATTTACCTTATATATAAATGTGTGTATTTGGAATTTATCACTATCATAAATATTCAAGTACTTGATTATATATACAAAATTGTTATAACTGCATGTCTTTAGTTATTTGGCTTTTCTCATCTTATCCTGTAGCTTGATGAATACTCACATAGATAATGTGATATACATGTGCTAGGCTAGGAGTTGTTCATATGTTGACTCCTTGGGTTAGGATTTGCGCTAGAGTTCAGTTGTGGTATTAGTGGAACCCAAGGT